GCAGCTGCAGATGAGAGCAGGGACTCAGAGGACACGGGGAAGTGGGCGAACCCAGCAAGAACAATGCAATGCACGTACGAGAGACGGAGAGCACAGAGTACTGGGGCCCCTGGAAGGTTGTTAAGAGAGGCACAGGTGGGCTACGTGGGAGGGTAAGAAATCAGGGTACAGAGGGGGTCAGCTCCAGGTCATGTAAAGGACCTAGCAGGTTCCTAAGGGACGTGGTCTGTCTCTGACCCGCTGTGGGCTGTCTTCAGGGAAGGGAGGTAACCGTGTTGCACTTCGGAAAGATGGCTGTAATGGGAGGGAGAGCTGCGGTTTCCAAGATGGAAGGCGCACAGGCGGAGCATGCCGAAAACAATCCACTGATGTTTCAGAAGAAAATAATGGAATCCCTCTTTACCTTTCTTACCACATCTTTTTGAACTTTGTATTTTATGTATGTTTCATTAACACTACAACATATTCATACAGCAATATATGAGCTGAGCCAAAATGCCTGAGTTCCCATCCCAGGTCCACCACTCACGACTGTGTGACACTGGAAAGGATGCTTGCCTCAGTTCCCTAATCTGTGAAATGGGGACAAAAGCAGTAACTACCTCATAGGTCTTCATGAAGAGGAAATTAATTAATCCTTATAAGATACTCAGAATAGTAGTAGGCCCATAGTAAGAACTCTGTATGCTTATTCAATTTTAAAAATGCAACTTACTAGTCAATAAATAAATATTTATCTGAGGTATGTGTGCATGTCACTGGTACACACAGAGCACAGACTGGGGTGGAAGGGCTGACAGAGCTGTTTTCAGAGTCCTTGTGAAAGATGGTGGTGGCTGACCCACAAGAATGGCAGCATGGATGGAGAGAAGGGTTGGAGAGATAGTTAGCAGGAAGTCACCTTCCTGTGGTGAGTGACTGTACATGACAGGTGAGCAAGAGGTTTCTGGCTGAGACAACTGGATGACAGGGCCAGTCACCAAGATGGAATATGGACAGCGCTTAAACTACCTGTGGGACACCCAGACTGAAATACAGGTCCCGAGCTCAGGAGAGGTCTGGGCAAGGAAGACACTTCTAGGTCACAGAGGAGAACCCTGGAAGAGCACAGCTGGTGGGTGAATCCGTGGAAACTGGTAGGAGCCATGCAGTAGTCACTGGTGACAGTCACCAAACATTCCCATTCTCCCCCTCCCTGGATACTCAGCAGGGCTACACTTCCTGGTCCCTGGAAGTCAGTGGGGCCAAGAGATCAGTTCTGGCCAATGAACTGCATGTGGTGTCACATCTGGGCTGAGGGGAGCCACCCAGGGCTGTCCTGTCCACCCGCAGGGTGGCCACCTTTGCTCAGGATGGCTGCTGCCCTCTCCACCTGGGTCCTGAAGTGAGCAGAGCCACCTGAGGACCTGCAGTGGATGTGCAGGACCAAGCAGAGAGACAGCATGGTTCTGCTAGGCCACGGCAATGGGGGAGGCTTGTTACACAGACATAACCTGGCCACACTGACTGATGGGATAGGGGCAGTTACGTGATAACCAGAAGAGCGGAGCAGCTGAAGATGCAGAAGGCAAGAAAGGGGAGAGAGAGGAGTCAGAGAGGGAACATGAACTGTGCCAGGACAAATGCCACATGTCCAAGCATGAGGACATGGGGAGGAAGGGAGGAAGGAAGGAGGGAAGGAACGAAGGAACGAAGGAACGAAGGAACGAAAAAGACCACCGCACCCAGTGGCCTTGGGATGCCACTCAATTGACTGATGCAAAAGTAAAATGACGGTTTACAAGGCAGCAGAATCAACAGGTATCACACTTTTGCATCTCGGCAGAGAGTAAAGTGCTCCATTCAGAGACTGACGTGCCACTACACTTCCACCTGCAAACACCGCTCACTCAAAACAGTTCTCAATCACAGCAGCTATAATCAAGTCAGTTGTTTTGCTGACATAAATAAAGCTGAAGGCATTTGAAACACTGTTGTAAAAAATCTTCATGAAGACTAGAGGTACATCTTAGGTAAGATCTTAAAATAAATGCCTGTCTTCTTTGGGAAGGATTTAACAGGAAGAATAAGAGATTTTTGCAACCCTGCTTGCATGAAACAACCCTAGAAATAACAAGCTTTGAAAGGTTCAGAAGTCACTTTTATAAAGTGGACATATTGATTTCTGCAGGCTTCGAAATGTTTTTCAAAAACACCAGCTGTTCCACATAATGGCATAAAAAATACATCTTTTCCTGGTTTCTTTTACTATTTAAAGGCAGAATAAAATAAATGTTGAAGACATATCAAAAGTATTATTTTAACTTGCCATGGTTCAGTGTAGAGAAAACGCTTATTTTGTTTTCTTCTAATTGTTCTAACAAGCTAAAAAGTCCAAGTCAATTGTTTGAAATGTCACTGAACTGCTCTTTACAGAGCATGTATTAAAACATTATGTAAGAATTTTCCAAATTGTAATATTGTGCTTGGCAACTAGGAAATGTGGAGCAATCACACAGACATCAGCCATAAGGCAGTTGGGCATAAGGTCATTTCTGCATATTTTAGAGGCTTCAACAGCGGCCAGAAAGGGAAAAACACCCAGAGCATCTACCTTTCTATTCAGTATTTGTAAAATAAGTCTATTCAGGTCATTCAAATCAGCGGAATACAAGAGCATTTTCTCTACAGTTTATTATGGGAAGAAGCTGATCCCCTTACTGGAAGGGACTGTCTGCAATTGCTAAAGAGGTTGCCTAATTAATTACAGAACAGAAAATAAACACTGGAACTACACAGTGTGAAACTTTCAATTCTTATAAGGTTAGAGAAAGCTGACAGACATACACTGAAATGAATAAAATCTACCCCCATGAAGTAGAAATTAGACTGGTTTTAAGACAGGAACATGGCACAGCAGGGCTGGCCACAGGGTAGGGGTCAGGAGATGGGGATGGTACCACAACCCTACCTCACGTGAGTGGTGTGACTCCACATAATCATTACTTCTGGACCTGAACTTCCCCAATTATAAAATTATGAAACTGGGTCTGAGAGAGGGTTATCTAAGCCAATCCTAAAAGGTCATATACTGTGTGATTCAGATGATACGACATTCTTAAAGCGACAGAACTGCAGGACACATCAGGGGTTGCAGGTGGGATGGAGGGACAGCAGAGTGGGAGCTGGGGGCTGGGGAAGACAGAGCTGTCTTGATGGCTAGAGCTGCCCCTCTGATTAAAATGTGACCAATGTGCAAACTGTAGAAAACTATCTGTGCAAGAAAGAGAGAGTGGGGGGTGTACACAAGTCTGCATAGAGAGAAAGAAAGAGGGAGAGAGGGAAAGGGGGAGCAAGAAGAAGAGAGAGAGGGAGAGGGAGTGAGAGAGAGAGTGGGGGGGCATGACGCCATGACCCAGGTTCAGAGGCTAACACCCCCCCGGACCTCAGCCCTTCAGGGTCAGGGCAGGTATGTCCTAATCCTTCCCCCCTCAACCATCTCATTTCTAAAATTATTTGCCAAAAATGCATTAGGCTCTGAAACAAGATGTTGATTCCTCTGAAACGACAGTGTTCCCGGCCTGCATGGCCCCAGAGGTGGTCACGCCCTTTGGGGAAGCGGCCTCCTCCTGACCTGCCTTGTCCGAGTCCATCAGCCCCTGCAGCCTCAAGGGCTCACACAGCCACCTGAGAGCAGTTCTTCAAAAGAAAGAGCAACATGTTATATTTTCTGCGATTACACAGTCGTTGGCATTGAGCCTTGGCCAGCAACCTAGATGTTTGATGACTCTCTGGTAGTGAGTTACTCGATGACTTACCCTATCTATGCTAGGATTTTGAACAACAAGGGTCTTGCTTTGCTGTTAGGAGGTGCTTAGTTTATAGGATTTAAGAATTGGTATTCGAAGCCTATATTCCCTTTCTAACCAAAGGGCCCTGGACAAATTACTTAATTTCTCAGTGTCCTCTATAAAATAGGAAGATGACAACAGCACCATTTCCATATTTCCACAAATGACAGTCATGGCCAACATTTCTTTGGTGCTTTTGAGATGGCAGGCACTGTTCCAAGCACTTTACAAGTCCTGGCTCCCAGGAATAATGAGATAGTGCTGGTTTTTATTCCTACTTTACAGATGAGGAAACAGAGACAAAAAGATGTAAGTGCTAGAGTTGGGATTCAAACCCAGGCAGCCGTATTCCAGACCCTATGTTCTTAACCAGAGCTGTCTTCCATGTAACATGTTTGGCACAGTACAAAACACAGTAAGAACTCAGTATCTTAGGCACAGTTTGAAGACTTCTAAATGGTGTGAAAACCAAACAGCACGGCCTACAGAGGCGGCCCTCCCCTCCCAGAGAGTCTTGCTATTTCAGTCCCCCTAGGAGCCCTACTACTCCACAGCAACATCACCCCCTGCTCACATTCACACTCCTTAGCCTCCTTCGGAAGCTGTTTCTGAGCTGAAGCCTAGCCAAGGTCTTATGTGGAAAAAGCACCGGACAGTTTTGCCTTCTTCAGGAGTACCTGCCGCAACCTGGTCCTCAGCCACCTCAAGGCTCACAGCGCCTTGAGCAACTTAACAACTGCACTTCCACCCATGTGGCCCTCTCCATCCACGAAGACCCCCTCCCTCCATTCATCCAAATGCCACCCAAACTGTGACGCCGGGCTCATTCCTGCCCTCCCATCAGAACGCTGTCTCCCACTGAGGACTTAACATCTTGCAATTTAAAACCCCACCATCTCACCCAGCAAGGAAGCACAGGGACAGCAGAGCCTGGGTTTTACCCTCTCTGCAACCCGCACAGCATCTGCTAACATACCCCCACGGCCGCACTCCCTGGGCACCACCGACCGGGTGACACATTCAGTTCAGATCATCAGAGAGCCTCAGAGGAATGAGCACTTGCCCAGACAGGTGAGCGTGTGTGAGTACATGAGGGACCCACTAGGAAGGGGCATCAGTAAGGGCGTCTCTTCCTCGGGAACACCACGCCCCGCCCTGCGCACTGGGTACCTGTTTCCCCCTCCTCCTCGCCCAGATTCAGCACAATGATGCAGATGTGCTTCCGCAGCTGGCGCGCGTTGGAGAACTTCCGGCAGCACTTGGGGCACTCCAGGCTGCTGGGGACCAGGCTGCTCTCCGCCTCCGGGGCCAGCGGACTGTCCGCACTCAGGCTAACGAGGTTCTCTGCCAGCTCCTCTTCAGCGCTGGGCTTCTTCGTGGACCCCTTAGGCCTGCCTCTCTTCCTCTTCATGACCAAAAACTCTATCACGGAAACAAGAGGGCACAATATAGTCACATGAGGAGACAGTGCAGGGCATACACTCAGCTTCCAAATGTGGGACTAGGTTCCGTTCTGTGGTTTATTAAAAACAAAAGGTTTGAAACAGTTCCAGAAAATAACAGCTGCAAACAATATCTTTAGTGCTAAAATCTTTGCATCTCTATGCTAATATATTACCAATTTGGTAGTTTTCTGATTTTAAAATGTCATTTTTCAGAACCTTTGCATATCCTTCTTTTCTAAGTGGGGATGGCTTTTGAGTTGTGACCATTAGCCCCCAGTTCACAAATTCAGCTCCATGTGAACCACCATTTCCACCTAAATCCAGTTCTCGGAAATGATTAAGCACTTCTTTGCAAGGGACTCTCAAAGGCTGCTTAGCTTTTCATACTCTTAATGAGTTACACAACTATTCAGATTACTTCAAGGCATCATAATTATTAGAGCCAAATTGTTCTGTGAAATACAGAAAAAATAATTATAATCTGAAGTCACAAATTATAGGACTAAAGACAATAATAATATTTTTCAAGTTTCCTAGCGACCTAGTGATTTAAATGTCAGGATCAGAGCTGCTTTAGACCAAGTTTCAAATCTTTTTTCAACTTGTATTTCTTCTTAATTAGCATTCATTTTTAAGGCAGTCATCTCAGGATGAAGAAGGGAATAAGGGGGAGGGGCTTGGGTGATGTGACCCGGAGAGGCCAAGGAGGAAGCCAGCACAGCCTGGCTGACATCCCCGCGTTAGAAGGTCATCTGTCTGGCTAAGACACAGCATCGCGGGAGTCCGCGTTGAATCTGAACGTCAGAGTAGAAGCAGTGGTCCTAGGTTCCAGCAACATCCTGGGGCAGGGGAAGAGTCATCTGCAGAATAATGATGTCTGCAAGGTCCCTCCCTGCTCTCTGAAAGACAAAGGCTGCACAGGAAGGCATCACCAGGCTGCTGTTACTACTGTGAGGACCTTCATGTAGGCCACCTCTGCTCCCAATCAGAGCGATCGCAGGGGAGGGCAGGATGGTTCTGGAGCAGAGTCTGCAGGGGTTTTACTCTTACATCTTGCCACATCCATAATTCAGATTCTCAAGACCAATTAGTTAGCTGATAATGCAGGGGAAGTGCAGCGTGACAATGTGGGCCGAGGACAAAGGAGTCTGGCACAGCGTCCCCAAGAACTCAGGGAGATCACGCACCAGGATGGGGCCGGAGAGGAGAGGGGGCCCTGCAGGAGCAGAGGTCCTCCTGAGCTATAGCGCCAAGGGAGGGTCAACCTCAACCGAGAGCCAAACCAGAGCTTTCCTGGCTGGGGCGGCCAGCACCACGTGCAGGTAGCCTCACCCCCAGCTAGTCAGGCATGCTGAAGAGCCCAGGGGACCAGGGGGACAGTGCGTAACAACAGGAAGCAACAGAGAGACCGATCAAACCAACGAGGCACAAGCCTTCAGTCCACTTGCCATGGGAAGTGCAGCGTGACAATGTGGGCCGAGGACAAAGGAGTCTGGCACAGCGTCCCCAAGAACTCAGGGAGATCACGCACCAGGATGGGGCCGGAGAGGAGAGGGGGCCCTGCAGGAGCAGAGGTCCTCCTGAGCTATAGCGCCAAGGGAGGGTCAACCTCAACCGAGAGCCAAACCAGAGCTTTCCTGGCTGGGGCGGCCAGCACCACGTGCAGGTAGCCTCACCCCCAGCTAGTCAGGCATGCTGAAGAGCCCAGGGGACCAGGGGGACAGTGCGTAACAACAGGAAGCAACAGAGAGACCGATCAAACCAACGAGGCACAAGCCTTCAGTCCACTTGCCACCACTTTGTTACCAAGGAGAACAAAAGCTATGTGGATATGAGGCCTGGCCAAGGTATAGGGGAGGCTAGACAGGTTGTAAGGGAAGGAATGGACCCAGTCAGGACACACCATTTACCTCACTCATTAAAGCGTTTCTCCTTATTGTTTACAACAGCATGCACTGTGCAACTTACTGAAGCAGCAATTAATAAGCAGAGAAGCAGAATTCATAGAGGCTATAAAACTCTCACCGCATGTCATGTTGGCTGTGCAGTAAAACATGTTGCACAAGAGCTCACGGAAGCCAACCCTACAGAGGGGCTCTGCACGCTGGCTGCAGGCAGACACCAGCTCCTCCTCTGAAATGCTCTGTGAGTGCAGCTGCGCAGTAAGGCGACTCCACCCAACGGGAGGTGTGGCCTCTGCCCTCAGCTACAGGGGTGACCCCAAGGCCCCCAAAACGTCCTGTCTGATAGCAGTGCCTTTTTTCTTGGGGGCTCTGGCCACCCCACAGTCTGACTGTGTGCTTCATGATGGGCTCAGCCACACACCAGGTCGATCCTGACCTCTGGAGAAAGTAGGGGAAGAGACGTAGGAGTCTGAGCTACCAGGATGAACCAGACACTCTCAGACAGACACACGGGATGCCTCGGAGCCCCATAAAGGCTCTGGACACCAAAGGCTGGAGTGAGCTTCCCTGGCTGGAGATACTGAATTCACAAGAAGGCAACGGCATCCAGGACTCCCCAGGGGAGGAGGAGGCCCGAAGGGGTCTGGTACTCCACCCACTCTCTCCCTTGGCTGGTTCTGACCTGAACCCTTTCTGCAAAAAACTGTAATCATAAGAATAGTGTGTTCTGAGTTTTATGACTTTAGCACACTATTGAACCTGAGGGAGTCCTTGGAGGTCCCCTGAATTTGTAAGTGGGGTTGGCAGTCTTGGGCAGACCTAGCAGCTTGTGGGGAACTTCACCTTGAGTTCGGCAAACTTTGTGCAGCAGGGCACGCAGCGTTCTCACTGAAAAGTTGTGCCAGGGCACGCGATAGCGGCCGCAAAGCCCCAGCAAGTGACACTCAGCTTGGCGCACACTGGGGGCGCAGCAAAGTGGGCCAGGCACGAGAGTTTTCTGTGGGTCTGTCTTCCCATGGGCTGGGGACACCCTGAACACAGGGTTCCTGTCCTGGCTGTTATCCCCCAAGCACCTAACCTGGTGCCTTGCACAGCACACACCCAATAAATCTTGGTGAATTGGGCTGACGAGCAGTGCGCAACCTGGCTGTCAAGGAAGAAACATGAAATCTGCCCTGAAAGCTTTGGAAAACCTCTAACACAATGGTGACAAAACTACTCTTACATCTTGCCACATCCATAATTCAGATTCTCAAGACCAATTAGTTAGCTGACAATGAAATATTCATAAATGAACTTGGAATAATTTAAGCACTGAAAATGAGTTGATGCTGCCAACTACCCAAATTTTATAGATGAGCTGAGAATCTTGGAACGAGGCAAGGAAAATCCTGTTACCTCCAAATCAAAGCACTTAATGGAGTCCCCTAGACCTGTATGCATGGACTCCAGGCCTGGCCTTCTGCTCCAGTCTTTCTCTGTCTCCAGCCTTGTCTCGCTGCCTTTCCCTCCCTCTAGAGTCTCCCATGTTGATGACTTTGCCTCACAACTCTCAGACCTGGCTTGCCAGGCCCTGTATTGTGTGGTTTAATCCTACACACGCCTGCGCACGTACATACATGTACACACACACACAGCCCAGCTCTCTCTCACCTGCTCAGGACAATGTTCTAGACCTCTCTAAATATGCACAGGTAAAATCCCTGTCTCTTTTTACTTACCTAGACTACTGTCCTTGCCTGTGACTACCTCTTGTATCCCCAGTAAGCCCCCAAGTCTCAATTCAATCATGGCATCTTGGGCCCAGTTCAAATCTCAGTGCCTCCTTCAGGAGGGTGCCCCAGTCATTTCAGCAGCTTGGACATCTCCTCGGCTTGTCTCACACTTAAGGGTGAAGTAAACGTATGGCATTCAAGCTGGCCAACACTGTCCCCATGTTTTTCTTTTCCCCACCTTATATCATATACCCTGAGGTCTGAGCTGGCCTTTTAGTTTCCTGACAGGTTATGTAGTAGACACTTAATAAATACCTTCTTAATAAATAAATAGATGTTGATCAGTTGTTTAACAATAGGAAAGAAGGATTTGGAAAACAAGTTATTTACTATGTCCCAAGTTTCCAAAAGAAAGGACGAGGCAAGCCACAATACCTCTCAGCCCTGTCCCCAATCCAATTTGGGGACAACTTCCTCACAGCTAGAAATTGTCCTTGCAGATCCAAGGCCACAACTAGCAAGGGACAGAAAGAATCAGCCAAAGGTTTTTAATTCAATCAAAAGACAATGTGCACATTATGAAAAAAAATAGCTCAATGTTATAAAAAATCTAATATTGTAAGCCCTTTATTTGCACATCACTCAAGTCTGTGAGGGTCTTCCCCAGTTATTGTATCATTTTATCCTCATAAAAACCTGGAGAGATGGATGTAGCAAATGTAATTTCCTTAACAGGAGAAGAAATGAGACACTAAAGGGTCAAGGGACTTGGCACATTTTCCAGAATTTACTGCTAAGCTCGTGAAGCCTGGACCTGGGTTTCCTTCTTCCCAGATCTTCCTGCTGAGTCGTGTGGCCCTCAGGTCAGTTCTTGACACACCAATGGGGCCAATATGGTCATGCAGAGAACACCAGATGGGAGTTAGGGTGACCTGAGTTCAAAACCTGCCATGTCTCAGTTTCTAATGCGAAAAACCCCAAACTGCTTCTATTTTATAAAGTCACTCTTAATAAAAGCAATCCATCAAAATGCTGAGCACAGAACTTAGGGTGTAATTGATAAGTGGCAATTATTTATTATTATGGCCATATTCATTAATATTCTGGCTTGAACCATCTCATTGCAGAAACAATTAGCTTCCCAGCCCATCTACACTGCTAAATCATGAGATTCCTCCATATATATCCATTCTTGTTCATTAGAGCCCATTTTCCTTGATTTCTTCAAGGAAAGCCAGTGGGGAACTGGGGGCATACACGTCTCACCGTGCCTCAGACCCGGGGCAGGCCGGCTGGCGAGGATTCTCACTCTGCAGCTCAACCTCTCGTCACCCCGACTCAAGATCCTAGGAACCCTG